GAAACCTTCCGAGAACTGCCCCATTTTGTTGAAATTTTGATTGAGTCGAATGGGTGAAGACAGGGTCAGGGTTGTCAGGGGTGTCTACGGAGGTACAGGTGTTGTTGTCGATGAGGAGGATGCACCTTGTTGCTTCTTCTTCTCTGCCTTAACTCCCCCCACGTTGCCTCCCCGTCCGTGGATGACTCTGTGGAGGAATATATAATTCTCGCGCTTGTTCCTCATCGGTCAATATATGTGGCATCTCATATTATTGGTACCACCGCATATAATTGTATGTCATGTTGTGGTCGAAGATGGGTTGAGTTGTGGGTGTCCTCTCGAATCTTCGAACCCACTTGTTCAGATACACCATATTATGGTCCACTCAATTAATTTCCGTCTTCGCTTGTCGTGTCAATCGATACAACTCATCCAAGCAAGGTGAATGTGACGAAATTGATTGGACATAGTTAAATTGTTGAAGGACGCGATCGATAGGATGTCACTCGACTATCTCATACAAGATCAACGGGACTGACACGATGTACACGAGCGCATTAGTCACCCAAATCTCATGTGGTATAAAGTCGGCAATAACAACATCACAGTAAGGCGTCCACATGAACAATTAAAATTACATAACTTTGTTAGCTAAAAACATCAAATAAATTAAATTATTCTAAAATTACAATATAAAAGTTGAAGGAAAATATTTTGTTACCTGATGTCCAAACTTATTGATCAAGAGTCTGAAGTCTCGTTGATGTGTTGGTAAGTGGGCGCGAGAGGTTTCATCTGTCCACATATCATTAATATAATAGAATTGTATTATTTGTTTGTAATATTATAAAAATAGATAAAAATTATTTTTTATCTCTTAAGTAATGGAAATTCATATAAGACATGTGTTTTAAGGATTGGGCATAAAAATGGCATTCGAATCTAGGCCCACGATTGGAACAACAATAAACACCCTCCAATGACATTTTTCGTTGGATCTACGGCTCTACAAAGCTGCTTGAACAAAATGTCAAAACTGCCGATCCCCAACTTATATTTCTGAATCACTCAAATTTTGCAAATGATTCAACAACATTAGATGCACCTTATTTCTGGATTTGTCTGACATTAAAATCCCCCAATAACTCGTAATATGCGCACGAGAAAATCGCTTCAAAAAATTAATAAAATAATATAATTACTTCATTTCTAAAAAATTAAATAAATAAATTGAAATATTAATAAATATTCATAGACAAAAACATTTATATTTACCTCATTCACTTCATGCTCCGCATTCTGGGGTAGGTTCGTAAAATTTTTATCCAAAAATTTAATTTTTATTTTTCCACCATCACATGCCTTATCAGGCGGATCAATTCCGAGCAATACTTCACATATGTTTCTAGGGCGCCGTCAACAGCAGTAATAGCTACTCCATCAATAGCAGACCCATATGAAATACAATATCTTGCAGGGTACTAGTTGCCTTCCCACACGGTAAATGAAACGTGTGCGTCTTCGGTCTCCATCTTTCCATCATTCATAAGTGGAGGGTGCAACTTAACACTGTCACGAGTTATACTACTTATATATCCAAACCCGCTAAATGTAAATAGTCAATAATATCTGCATCTGGCGGTGTCACACGATTTATATGACACTCTAATACACATTCATATCTCTACGAAATATAAATATTAAAAAATTATTTAAATACCAAAATAAATAAACTAAATAAATAAATAAATAGAAAAAATATAAAATAATATTAATTATTTTACCTCGTTATTTCGCCTCCAATAATCGAATACGTGACTTTGATAATGTCTTAATAGACAGTCATGATATGAATCTTTGAATAAATGAAATAGATGGGTGTGGTGATGAATATGAGTAAATGACTCTATTTATAACCCTTTTTGCATCTGGGGAAGCGCAGTTTTAAATGCAACTCGCCTCCTGCAATATGTGAGTTACTTATTCTATTCTCAGTACCTCGCGGTTTGCAAGATACGAGATTGCTAACAGCTTTTATCTTTTAAATTTTAAAATATATTATAATTATAATATTATTAATTATTTATTATATTTAATATTTTACCCATATAATTTTTCAAAATTTACAAAATATATTATAATTATTTTTTATAGAATATCTATTTTAATTACTATATTTATATATTATTATATTTTAATTATTATTATATTTAATAATTAATATTATTAATTATTATTTTTATTATATTTATTTATTATATTAATTTAATTTATACATTTTAAATTAAGATGTTATACGAAATTCGAAAGAATCTCACGTTTCGAAATGCGTGAGGTTATTTTATCTAATTATTTTATTGGATTAACTGGAAAGTAAGCCCACTTCGGATGTATCTCACTTGGAAGATGCAAGGATTTAACAAGCAGTTTATAGGTCGCGAGATCATTTGATATGGACGAATTGAAGTTATATTTTCAAATAATTTATGGATGACTCTATTTATTTAAATAATTATTTATTTGAGATTTTTAATATAATATTGCCGAAAAGTGTTGTGTCTAGGAACTGATATGAACCCACCATCTCTCTTGTTTAATTGCCAGAAACGATGATTCCATCTTGGGATGAACGACTTGCAAGTACTTGTTCCTGCAAATTTGGCGAATGTTGATTTCGGTTTCGAAGATAAGTATTCATTAGCTTTCATGGATTTCAATTCAGTAAACCGATCGAAAAAGACTTGGGGATGGTGATGATTCTTCCCTTTTGGCACTGAGCTACCAAAAAGGGAGAAATACGGTATGTGGAAGGACTTGGACATTTCCCTGCAAATGAAGGACTCAAATGCAAAACATTTGTCATCTTCTTTCCAATACACCACGTCTCTTTCGATTGAATTTGCTGCCGCATTGATCCCAATCAGCCAACTTCATTTCGTCGATCATGAGCCTGACGAAACTTCGAATCGACTTCACAGTTTGTCGAAGAAAAGTGACGAAATGGGTCGGGTTTAAGCCGGAGAGGTCTAGATCGTCGAGCACAACTAACTGACCGCTTTGATTTAATCTCTTCTCCAGAACCTGTTTTGCTTATTGGATTCACCAACTTTCCTCGAAGAAAAATGATCTCGGAATCTTTGAGTCTCATCTGGGATTCCAGTTTCTTTCCCATGATTTTAAACGTCGTCGAAAGGCTCTTCAGTTCCTGGATTTCTGCTAAAGCCATCGCCTGTTCTGGGGAAAAATCGTACTGTTTCTTCAAGCAACACTGCTTCAATTCCGACAGCTTTTTCAAGTCGGAAACAATCAATCCATCGGCTTCTTGTATCCCTTCAGCATCGTAAGGAGATTGAGCGTACTGCAACTGAGCATATCCTGCATTAATAGCTGAAACAGCTGCAAAGATTTTCGCAACAAGTGCTTCCAAGGCCAGCTTTCTTTCATGCTCTTCATCATGTAATCTGTCAAATTTCTGGATAATTTCCATTCTCCAGTTTCGTTAGGCAGTTTAACCTTGTGAACCCCGTCGTCGGGGACAACCCCAGCCGCCTTCGAGTGCCGGTGAAGGACTTTCGATAAAGTTCGAGCCCATTTACTCTTGATGGTGCAACAGCCGTTGGCATCACAGCTTCTATCTGCAAATGCGATCTCAAGCAGACAATAAGTAAATAAGAAAGGGATAGACAGGGGGGGGGGGAAATGGGGGCAGACAATAAAGATCTATGAGAATAATGGCAATGATGAGGGCTTACATGAAAATAGGAAAAGAAAAATGAATGAACAAAACCGAGGTCTTTAATGGAGGACCCTTTAGCCTTCTTTTGAAACAAGTGAAGAAAAACGGTATACTCTTTCAACAAGGCGGGGAAAAATTGAAAGCCAGATGCAGAGGAACAACGGGAAGAAGAAGAAGAGCAAAATGGATGGAGATGAAATGATTCGAAGAGATGCTCGAAAGACGCGTTTAACGTTATCCAAGTTCAAAAGCTTTGAGAAGCTTAATAAATTATGCAAATGGGGAGAATCAAGTAGGGGGGAAGCATATAAAGGAATAAAATAAAGACTTACATTCTTTTTAGGATAAACTACCCCTTTAGTACCTAGGCTATTGGTTTTGATCCGTTTAAGTACATAAACTTTTAATTTTTTTAAAATCATACCTATGGTTTAGTTTTCATTTTATTTTAGTGTCCCGTCATCATTAAAAACTTAACGTGTTTCATACCTAAACTATTACTTTTGATTTGTTTTAGTATCTAAACTTTTAATTTGTCCAAAACTTAATGTTAAACTTTTTGTCAATTTTTTAACGGAAGATAATGAATATAATGATTAGTCGGGTGATAATTTTATAACTTATAATAGTCGAGTGACTCAACAGAGTAACACTCTATAGTTGGAGGACTATTTGTAACTTTTAATATTCGAGATACTTAATAAAGCGATACTCTATAGTCAAGGAATTATTTGTGTACTTTACCTTAAAATTAACTAAAAAGTTTAAATTAACCGAATTTAAATTATTAAAAATATTTAAAAAATTGAATCAAATCATATACACTTCTATAAATGATCTTCAAAGTGAGAAATCATGTACACATAGAAGTAAAGGAAGAAAAAAAAAGACCAAATTCGTCTCTTCTTTCTTGCTAGTCATTATTACAATATATAACTAGAAAATATTTTTTTGAATTAATTACTGATATTCAATTTATTGACTAACTAATTCAGATCGGATACTGCAGAGGCGAGCGTGACCTTCCCAACCCAGTTTGCTTCATTTGTAAACGCCAAGATTCGAACGCCTAACTTTGGTTAAGAGACCTAGTGTCTCATCCCAGAAAATATTTTTTTTGAAAAATGAAAGAAAAAAATATATAAACCACACCAGGCCCATCAATGTTAATACCAAGCACAATTCCAGTAGGAATATTTCACTTTCTCACTCTAATTATTAACAATAATAAAAGAAAATGGGGGAAACTTCCTTTCAACTTCTCCAAGTGCTTAGAATCATTTAAGAGCTTCATTAATCTATGAAGAAAATCTCTTCACAAACATTCGTAGCGTCTTGATCTTTTGTCATTATGAAATATCTGTCAAGTTCTTCCTCAAGCTACTGGTTTTCTTCACCATTATCATTCTATCGGTTCATGTTCAGTCATCATCAAGTTCAAGCAATGAAAACTATTCGGCCTGCAGCAAACAGTTCCATTGTGGGAACATAAAGAATGTAAGCTACCCTTTCTGGGGAGGTGACAGGCCCCAGAACTGTGGCCATCCAGAGCTGAAGCTAACCTGCACGGAAAATGAGCGAACCCTGATCTCAATCATGTCTGTAAGCTACAAAGTCATCGAAATCAACCTCGATTTACGAGCTTTCACGGTTGCAAGAGCTGATTATCTGCAAACCCTTTGTCCACAAGCCCTTTTCAATACCACCATGAACTTCAACATATTGAGCTACGCCTGGAATCTGGAGAACATAACATTGTACTATGGCTGCCCTTCGATTTCCGACATGTTTTCAGGGTTTCCAACTCGGTTCAACTGCAGTGGAACAAATTTGGTGAACTACTATGTCGTAGCATCTGTTTTTGGTAACCTATCGGACGAGGTTAAAGATGGGTTGGGATGTTGTACTAGCAATGTGATTGTTCCGGCTTTTTATACTGCAGCCGAGTCGATTAAGAGCAAACCAACTCCAGACACTCTGGTTTTGCCACTAGGTAATGGATTTGGCCTGAAATGGGGTGAAAAAATTGCTTCCAAATGTGAGGAATGCAATGGTTCTGGTGGGAGGTGTGGGCACAATAGGAGCTTGAATCAATTCACTTGCTATTGTCCAGACCATACTCATCTATCAACTTGTTTTCTATCAGGTATGCACTAAACCCACAAATTTTTTTTCTTTTTTCTTAGTTTTGTTGATCAAATTAGTCAAGTTTTGGAATTTCCTTGGTGGGTTTCTTTTCCCCTGGAAAAAGAACTTGAAAATTCTCCAAAATCTGCAACTTTTTCAACCATGTATCTTCTATCACGTGTGCACTAAAACCAAAGATTTTCCTTCTTTTTTCTTAGTTTTGTGATCAAATTTGTCAAGTTTTGGATTTTCCATGGTAGGTTTCTTTTCCCCTGGAAAAAGAAATTGAAAATTCTCCAAAACCTGCAACTTTTTCAACCATGTGAGTCAAAAACTGGGTTTTCTTTTAGCTCTTTTAGTGGTTTGATGACATAAACCAAAAGCATGGATATGAAGAACATTGGTTGCTATTATTATAATATAAACGCAGAAACAAAGTATTCAATCAACAGTCAGCTGTCGGCCACTTTTGTAATATAATTTATGTGACAGCATCAAATTTAAAGGTGACAAATAATGAATATTTTTTTATTCTAAAGTAACATGCTTGCTTTTGAAGATTAGTTAAATATGGGGTTTTTTTTCTCTTTAATTTTTTTGTATTTTATGTTACAGGGTCATCTAAAGGTACCATTTTGAAGATTAAACTAATCATAGGTAATTTATCATAATCATATTTGAAAAAAATATGAAAATAAACTAAAATTTGTCAGCTAATTGGGCCATTCATTTAAAACAGGGTTTGCAGTGGTTGGGGCTGCTGCTATGGTGGTTTCTCTCATGGTGTTTGCCTTGAGGCTTAAGAAAGGATCGTTGTCAAGTGGAATGCTGATGGGTTTACAGCAAAATAAAAGGAAAAACAGTGAAAGGATCGAGGCTTTCATCATGAGATACGGTTCGGATCTTGCTCCGAAGCGATATTCTTATTCGGACATCAAGAAAATCACCAAGTCGTTCAGAGACAAGCTCGGCGAAGGCGGATTCGGCACTGTCTACAGAGGTAATTTGCCCGACGGTCGTCTCGTTGCTGTTAAAGTCCTGAGTGAGTCGAGGGGGGACGGAGAGGAGTTCATTAACGAAGTTGCGAGTATTAGTCGAACTTCTCATGTCAATGTCGTGACGTTTCTTGGATTCTGCTACGACAGTTCGATGAGGGCTTTATTGTACGAATTCATGCCGAATGGATCGTTGGATAAGTTCATCTATCACCATGGATCCAGGGATCGACTTCGTGTGCTAGACCAGAAAACATTGTTCGAAATCGCAGTCGGGATCGCTAGAGGACTAGAATATCTCCATCAAGGATGTAACACAAGAATCTTGCACTTGGACATAAAACCTCATAACGTCCTTCTAGACGATGACTTCATCCCCAAGATATCCGATTTCGGTCTCGCTAAGTTATGCGAGCGGAAAGAAAGCATTCTTTCGTCGATAACCGCCCGCGGAACTATAGGATACATCGCCCCGGAACTATTCTGTCGAAACTTCGGTGGAGTTTCGTACAAATCCGATGTTTATAGCTACGGAATGATGGTGCTCGAAATGGTTGGAGCAAAGGAAAACGTTCATGTCGCAGGGTCAATAACTAGCGAAACGAACTTCCCTACATGGATTTACGAACATCTCCGAGACGAACCATTCGATCTCGAAGGAATCACGGTTGAAGATGAAGAAACAACTAAGAAGATGATCATAGTGAGTTTATGGTGCATTCAAACGAATCCGTCGGACCGACCATCAATGACAAGAGTGCTCGAGATGTTACAAGGAACACTTCAATCTTTGCCGATTCCGCCGAGACCATTCTTGTTTTCTCCTCCACGATCGGCCGGAAATTCCTCATCGGCAATATCATTTTATACCAGCTATTACCAGTAAGAATTTAACACAGTGTGTGTTTCTTGTTAGTTATTTAGAAAATTTAGTATCTTTAACCTTGATCATAATATTTCATCACAGTTTGATACAGTGGCGGAGCCACGGCTTGTTTAGGGTGAGTACATACTTGAAATCTGAATTTTCTTCGATTAAGTATTTATTTTACTGATAGTGGTCCCCCTGAAATTTTTTGTGCTTACCATAAAATCTGAGTTTTCTTCAATTAGTTACTTATTTTACGGACGATGTTTGACCTGAAATTTTATTTGTACCCGTCCCATTTAAAAATTTTATGTTGTTAATATATATGTATCTACCCTAAAAAATATTTCTGGATCCGCTACTGGTTTGATAGGATATAGGGTCCTGTGATTTATACATAGGTTAAAAAAGATAAATTATGCGTTTAGTACATATATTAGTTTTGGTCCGTTTTAATACCTAAATTTTTTATTTTTTTTAAATCATAGCTAAAGTTTAGTTTTTGTTTCATTTTAGTACTCCGCCGTTAAAAATTTTAGTTTTTGTTTCATTTTAGTATACTCGTTCAAAATTAAACATTAAGTTTTGAAAAATATTAAAAGTTTAGATACTAAAATGAACAAAAACTGATCGTTTATTTAACGGCAGGGTACTGAAATAAAATTTTAAAAACTAAACATTAGAAATGGTTTTAAAAAAATTAAAATATTAAATATTAAAACTGATAATTTATATATTAAATGCATAATTACCCCCAAAAATAAGCCCTTGTATTACATTGCCGAGTCATGTAAGGGTTTTGTAGATGAAAAATAGTATAAAATACACTAGTAGTCATTAAACTTTAGATTGTGTATTAGTTTTAACACTAAACTTTAAAGTACTTCAGTTTTAACACTAACTTTAGTTACTTTTCAATTAGAACATTGGACTGTTTAACCATTAATAGTTGGATAATATGGTAGTTGACATACGAACAATATACGTAGAAATAAGTTCATTGAATAGCTGTCGGAGGATATCAGAGCATAAAAAAAGTCAATCATTTAGATGAATTTTTGCCCTTTTTGAGTAGATTTTGTAGAAAATCAATTTAAGAAGAAGAATGAGATGTGAATGTTTTAATATTGATTTTACCGTGAATAACGACCGTTAATGAGAAATGATCAACCGAAAACAATAATCAAAGGAGTTAATGAATTTTTACAAATTAAAAATAAATGATCATGTTATCACGTCATTAACGATTTAACAATCCAATATTTTGACTAAACAAAAATTAAATTTCACGTCATCACGTTAAAATATTTTATCATTAATGTATATCAAAATTTGTAAACTTATAATATATATATATATATATATATATATATCTGCAAACACTTACATTTATCTGAAAATTCTTCACCAGCAATATATATTGAAAATAATTAATCTAAAAAATTATTAAATTATCCCAGTATTAAAAGAAAATATTTTTTTTTTATAAAGATTTAGTTTCGAGCAACTGCGTTTGAAGAATGTATGTGTTTTGTAATTAGTTAAAAAATTCTGAACAGACGCTATGTTATAATTACTCTAAATTAGAAAAATAAATAATCATTTGATTTGATTTTTAAATAGAATAATTTTTTTTTGAAAAAAAATTATTTTAATTTCAAAAATAACAAATGCAGAATTTCTAATAATCCTAAAGAAAATGGTAATAAAATCCAATGGAATTCCATAAAAGGGTAGGAAAAATAAATTTAAAGTCATAAAACATACCAAACATAAATTCGACTTTTGAGCCTTTTTTGTCGTTTTCAAAGTACAGAAATAAAAAAAATATCGACTCACCAAAACTAAATTATAAGTCAATTAACCCTTATTAGTATCATTATTAACCCTTATTATTATCATTATTATTATTTCAAAATATTATTTCGTGTTTAAATTATTAGGTCTCACACGAATCAAGTGACTTTTATTATAAAGGAATTCTTATTATTCTTTAAGAACCTCGGTTCGAACACCATAGATATCAGAGACATAAACCTTTAATATTAAAAAAATTAAAAAATATATCTAATAAAATACTATATTATAATTACTCTATATTAAAAAAATTACGGGTCCCACCTTATCTATTGCCACGCTAAGCTGTATGATCACGTGAAAGGGAGCAGCCCCCACCCCCGAGTCCGCATCATCTTTTGGTGGACCCCCACACATGGAGACACAAGGATCGGTTAGTTAACTTTTTGTTTATTTAATAGGGTAAACCACATAGTTGATCACCCAATTATTAGTAGGTTTCTGTTTTGATCACTGAAATAACTTTTCATATTTGGTCGTAAACATTACAAAAATTAATCATTTAACCATCTATCATTAATTATTAATAAAACTCGTTTTTAATTGGAATAATAATAATTTTAGTTCTCAATATTCCTATATTTTATTCATTTGATATTAATTCTAAATAATTTAACAAACTTAGTGTTATATATTTACATATTCTATAAAATTGACCCTAAAACACACTATCATCATCATCATCTCAAATGTCAAATATTTTTTTAAGATCCATGAATAGTTAAGATGCAAGATGAGATGCTGAAATCAATATATTATTAACACTTTACATGTCGAATTAAAAATGAGTCACATTGGTAACTCCATTAATACTTAACGGATGATAATCAAAATATCAATTTTTGTAACGATAGTGACTAAATTGAAAATAATTATTTTGATGACATAAATAGACACAAGTTAATAGTTCGGCAACCGATTCCTTTATTTGTTTCGAATCTTTGTCACCTTGGGTTGGGCCTAGAAATGGCATGGGATCCAAACCCGATGGTATCCAACCCGATTGTATAGGGTCGGGTTTTTTTAAAATATATTCGGATTGGGTTCGTGTTTCAATGAAAAATTTCCTAACCCGACCTAGCAAATTTTACCTTATATATTTATAAATAATTACAATAATGACTCTCTATATATTATTTTTTTCAATTAAATCTATATTTTTTATGAATATAAATAAAATTTTAAAAATATATTTATTTCGGATTAAACCGGGTCAAGTTTGGGTTTTATCTCAAAACATTAGATAGAATTCATATAAGTGAAGTCACCTCTAAACTCGAATCGAATCTAGAATGAAGGATAAATATTTTTGAATCGAGTTGGATTGAGCGAAAACCTAATTAAGCTTACCCATGCCCATGATCCCTAATTGGGCCGGTGGAGTAATTTCGCACGTGGGACGAACTTTGACACTTGTGACATTATCTTCGTTTCCCATTGAAGAGTCATCGACAAAGACGGTTGCCGAACCCATTGCAGGAGGATCCGCCACGGGTCACACTTTGGTCACGCATTGGGAGGGAGAGAGAAGGGGGGACTAACGCTTAACGTGCTGCTTTACCATGTGCATTTGCGTTTCTCAATTTGCCCTTTCCATTATCTTTTTCAATTTTTTTATTTTAAATCGATATTTAAAAAACAAATTTTATTTTAATCATAAAATTATATCATTAAAAGATAAATTAGTTACATAAATTAAACGATCTCGATAATAAAAAATATTATTATTATTTGAGATCTCGATTTAAGACTTGAAATGTTAGAAGTGTAAATGTTCAATATCAATAGTAAAATTTTATCTATGAATATATATTACTTTGTACTTATTCTAGATTAATAAAAAATAAATAAATTAGTTTCTTAGAAAAAAATTAAAATAGAGTAAATAAGAAATAAAATAAGAAATAGGATAAAGGTGGACACTTGTAGACATTAAGATTGGGTTTTAATTATCTACAAATGTTAGTATACAAGACTATATTTATTAATAAAATAATTATAAGGAATTAAAAAATGAAAATATTAAGTTTTTAGTAATATACGATAATTATAAGATATTATATTTTTAAATTTTTTTTAACTTATTAATAACATAAACATATTTTATAAGCACGACTATTTAAATTCAAATTTTATAAAAGAATAATATTTTTTACCATTAAAACTATTCAATAAATTTACATATCAATATTTTTATTACTCAATAAATTCAAATATCAACCTTTTGTACAGTAGATTTATTTGTTTATTATAAATATTAAATACGTTAAAATTTACGTTTATGTTAATAATAATTTCATCCTCAAATTAAAATTTGGTAGGGGGAAAATATTTTAATAAAAATTATTAATAAAATGTTCAACTATGAGTGGAAAAGTTGTAAATTGCAAAGAGATCAAGGGCAAAGATATCCAATCAGTGCAGTTTTAACAGACCATTTTCCAAGCGCTACCATTTCAAGCTTCCTATCAATGATACAACTTCCGTTTTCTTCCCGGGTTTTCAACTTTAACAACCCAAAAACCGTTTCCTTTTTCCCGGTCTGTTTCCGGTCCATCTGTTGATCGGAATCCACTTCCGGCTAGATCTCAGTCAACTCTGCTTCTGAACTTCCCCTCCAATTCACCCGTCAGCAAACGCCGGCGTTTTATATCTCCGGTCGTCGATCTAAAATTTCGAAACTAGAGATCCTTCTCCGATCCTTTATTTATTTTTATTAATTTGTCAAATTCTATTTTTTTTCTTTCGACCGGACAATAAAATTTTCTCTAAATTCAATAGTTATATCTTCGGTTTTTTTCTCCCTTCTTTGAAATGACGTCTGGGACGAGGCTACCGACATGGAAAGAAAGAGAGAATAACAAGCGGAGAGAGCGGCGGAGGAGAGCAATAGCGGCGAAGATCTTCGCCGGACTTCGGATGTACGGTAATTATAAGCTTCCAAAGCACTGCGATAACAATGAAGTTCTCAAAGCTCTTTGTAACGAGGCCGGTTGGACTGTCGAACCCGATGGCACTACTTATCGTAAGGTAAATTACTATCATCACCTAAACTTATTTTTTTTCTTTGTTATTTTATTGATTAGTGTTAGTAGGAAATAGATGAAGATAATGCTGATGGAACGGTCAATATCTTGTTTGAAATGAAAATTAACTGAAAATTGAGTTTATTAATAGCTTGTTTGAACTTCAACATTGCTTGTTTTAATTTGTTTGTGAATTTTTTAAATATAAAAGCAACGGAAAATTGCTTATTTCCTGCATAACTTGGCACGACGGAAGTCGTATCATTGAAATTGTACTTTTTTTATTAAATTTGTCTGGCGTATTTTAGCACGAAGATTTTAGTTTCTAGTGTAGTAGTAATAATAAATTAATATTCAAAAATGAAAAGAAAATCAAGTTAAACTGCGATCCGTATGCTGATTTGTGCCGCTCTTTGCGGTGCATGTTAATCAACGGAAGTCTTCCCGTGGTGCTAGCATACGCCGGTCCCGGCCGAATGTTGACATCGGAGAAACAGGAAGATCTGGTGTCAACTGCTAACATGCACGGCCTGAATCACTGACCGCGTTAGTTTTGTTTGTTGCAAGGTTAGAATCGTCATTTTATTAGTCCTCTCAAATCGTTCGTTTTAGAGATCTGGTCAGCCCTCTTTTCTTGTACTTTTTTTTTAACTTTCACTTTAGCCAACGCGTGAGGCGTGAAGCACCAACGAAAGATTCTTCTCTTTCTTTGATGGCCATATTCCATATAACTTGTAGTATTCCACTATTCCAGATGAGAAAGAACATGGGACTGATCATCCCAATTTTAAAAAATAACCCAAATTGCATAGATCTTGAGAAAATACCTAACTACCCTTGTTTTTTGCACCATGCCACCATGTGAACTTACAGTGAGTTTTGATATTATTTTTAGACCTTTTTTTAATTGCCAAGTAAAAGAGTCCGTTTTCAAGGATTTTACACAGTTTCCACTTTGAGATAACTTTCATTATCAGTTGCTCATACAATCATTTGGGGGTTTCAGACTTGGCAATCCGTTTGTTTGTAGTCTTTCTTTTGTTATAATTGTGTTTAAGGTGTTCTATATTTCGATATATTTTTATAACTTGGCGCATTTTATGTTACAGTAATTTTTTTTTGTTTTTTTGCTGCTTGACTGTATTTGTAAATTACAAAACCTTTTAGGCAAATTAGTACCACATTTTAACTTGTTTTGGCGTTCTTAGTTTTAATTACTCAAATAGTTTAATTAGTAAGGCCCCTATTGTGTACAATTTTGAAATAAAATATCAGAAGGACCATATCTTAGAACTGCAGCTTAAAGGGGAAATTGAGGTTTTTATAATGCATAAAGCAGTTGTCTGGCTCCTAAGCAAAAATTGAGGATAAATTTATTTTAAGAATGTATGATGACCATGCTTTCTTTTTTTATCATAGCGCAAAAAGATGAGTTTTTCAGGGAAGACATTGTGAGACTGGGATGTGATGGAAACAAGGAGTAATATGGCACAATTAATAAGCTCAAATTAACTGATATTGTACATAAATGAAATGATTTTGGGTGGAAAGTAAGATTATAGGGATGGAAAAGAAAGATGGAGTGAATATAATGATGCCCTACCATGGTGAAATTAATGGCATTCATAAGAAGTAAGAGCTCAAATTACACGTGTAATAAAAAGCTGGAATGAGTTTTGGTTTTCCGAGCTGCTATTTGTTTAAAATTTATTATTTCCAAAGTTGAGCATACTTTTACAGTAATGTTCATTGATCTGTTGCTTGTGCTTTTAGCGAACTGATAAAAAAAATTGATTTTGGCAGGGTTGCAAGCCTGTTGAGCGCATTGATATGGTTGGTGGATCTGCAACGTTGAGCCCCTGTTCGTCTTACCAACCAAGCCCTTGTGCTTCTTACAACCCAAGCCCTGCATCATCATCCTTTCCAAGCCCAGCTTCTTCTTATGTGGTTAATCCCAATGGTGATGTGAAAGCTCTTTTCCCCTGGCTCAAGAACCTATCATCTGCCTCCTCATCAGCATCCTCTTCCAAGCGTCCCTATAGCTACATTCACGGTGGTTCTATTAGTGCTCCTGTGACCCCTCCATTGAGCTCACCCACTGCTCGAACCCCACGAATCAAAAATGACTGGGAGTATCAGTCTACTCACCCAAATTGGAGTGCACAACAGCGGTCTTTCCTACCTTCTTCAACTCCCCCTAGCCCTGGTCGTCAGATCGTTCCCGACCCAGAATGGTTTACTGGGCTCCGAACCCCTCATAGCCGGCCAACGTCTCCCACATTCAGTCTTGTCTCCTCAAACCCCTTTGGCTTCAAGGAGGAAGTCTTAGCCGGTGGGGGATCCGGCATGTGGACTCCCGGACAAAGTGGGACATGTTCTCCTGCAATAGCTGGAGGATTAGATCATACTGCTGATGTTCCAATGTCTGAAGCTATTTCAGATGAGTTTGCATTTGGAAGCAATGCAACCGGGATAGTAAAGCCATGGGAAGGGGAGAGAATACATGAAGAATGTGGATCAGATGATCTAGAACTCACTCTTGGCAGTTCCAAGACTAGGTGAGTCCGAAAGCTTATCGAATAGATTAGCTAAAATCGACTTCTATTTTACAGCGTCACATTGTCCTGCAGATAAGAGCAATCCGCTTGAAAAAAAATCACTTTCTTAGCATTAACTTTGATCCCATGTTTGTTCGGTCGGGAAACAATAGGGATGGAGGTGAGCCTGAGCCTGAGCCTGAGCCGTTGCTCGCCCTTGATTCAGCTTTCATTAATTTTTGAAAATTTTAACTCTGAATTATATAAATATTAGTTTGTTCTCGAAGATAGTTTGTTCTCTGCTTTCTTAGCATGATTGTTTTCTTGTTTTCTCGAAGATGTAATGGCTCTACAATGACCAAGCCGCAAGCATCAAACATTAAACAAACCATCTCAAAAAAAAATTCGGATTCATTTGGTTTGCTTGACATGCAAGGTTTTAAAACATAGACCTCGAGTAGTTTTATAGTCCATCTATCTCTTTAAGTAGGAAGGGTTTCTTCCAGTATCTAAACTGGACCCTGGTGGGCACCTATTTTCTTCTGGGCAGAGAAGATAAAATGGAAATAACTCCGACTGGCTGCCCGAACTCCAAGCAACAAAACTATGCAAACTAATAAATCCAATCGAAGATTTGTCACAAAAAGAAATCTCACCTTTACTACAGCTGTATGTATAACAAGCAGCATAACCTCCAGAGCCACCACGAATGTCAGCTTCAGCAGCTCGCCCAACAATGCCAACAGCTGCACTCGAACCTGCTCCAACTGATAAATGCATGTTTCCACTAAATGTTGCAACGGCACTTTCATTTCCCAGTACAATAACGAAATCCGTAAATTCACCTCCGGCCTGTTAGATTCAAGAAAAAATAGTACAATAGATATAGGTACCCCGAGTCGGATTGGAACTATACATTCAAACTTGTGAAAGATATTGTTAAATGATCATCAAAACGGTTTCATCATCATAATCGGACAATATCGAGTTACCTGAACTCCTCAGCCAACACCCAAGGAAGTTATGGCAGATGGTGGAGACCCAGATCCATCATCTCTACGAGCAACAACCAGTCCCGTTCCGATATTGTATGTCACCATAACCCCAACCTTTGCAACAGTGAGAATCGCAAGGCCTTTTGCTTGTTTCAAAATAGCATCTGGTATGGACTTTTCAGGTTTCAAGGACCCGACCTGTGTAAAGTAACCAATGTGTCATGAAATGGTCTTATGAGATGAACACTTTCAAGTATTAATCTAGATGAGTTCAAATTAAAAAGTGAGACACCACCTTTCTGTAATTGGTAATAGTATTTGCTGCCTTGTAAATCTCATATTCCATTGATTGGCCCCAAGGAAAATTAAGCCATGACCTTAATGTACTGAGGTCTGTCAGATCGTGGGTAGGCAACTGAGCAGCACGACTTACCCAGTCCATCAAGTATGGTTGGACGGGCTCAAGTCGCACACAACAAACATCACATACTCGTTGTGGGTTCCCCATGCAGAATTTCATTGGTAACAGGCTCCGTCCCCTGGAACATTCATTGCAGAATATCCCACCGCAGAAACGGCAATGATGACGGGAGCGCATGATAGGATGGAACCGCACGTTACATAGCATGCAAGTGGAAGCAGCACTGTCAGCCAACCATTTCGGCGGCTCTGCTTCAAGTATTTCATTGAAGTTACCAAAATTAGCCTCTGCAAGTGTTTGAGCCATCTCGTTCCAAGTTTGTTCAAGAAGATGATTGGATAACCAAGCGATCCCACATCTTTGAACGTCACCTGAAGCAATAGCACTCACTTTGCCTCGAGCGGCAATTAACAACTCACTGAACACATCCCACATGGTCAGATCCTTACTGTCTCCTGTAAACTGATTCGAACCCAAACCATCATCAGGAAAGTGCCCTCCATTCAGGAAGAGGCCTCTATCCCATTCTTCATGTTTATTTTCAGTCATAGGAGGAACTGATACAAGTGTCCAAACTCCAGTTTCTTCGGAAATTGGGTTATCATAGTAAAACACTTTTCCTTGCTTCTGGTTTCCGAGGCCCGAAACAATTTCCACGTCATTGCGCCAGCTAACTCCAGGATCTACTTCACCCTCAGAACTTATAAGCTGCTTTCCATCTTGCACGACATTTTTATCGACCGGATTGCTTTCTTCTCTACATTCATCCTCATAACTTATAAGCTGCTACTCACTTAAGTTGTGTTCCACAACTTTTAAGGGTAGTACAACACCTATGTTTATTTGGATTCCTTAATTAATCCAAGACATTTACTTAGTCTAGTCCTTAAGGGTATTTTGGTCATTTTGGTACTCGATGTTATTCCAATCATTTTAAAGCTTGAGGATATCTATTTATTTCTAGGCTTGAGGATATCCATTCATTTCTGAGCTTGGTGATATTCTTGGGTCATTTCTATTCCAAGGGTAATTTAGTCATTTTACAGTTCTATGGTATTTCAATCATGTCCTTCCATCCGATCTTATTAATTAATTCAAACTTATTATCTATTCTAGTCTTTTCAAACAATTCTGACAAAAGAGCATAATCGATAAATTATTCTTCAGGTATTTACTGATAACTCGAAGATTTACGGATTATCAAGAACTTTCTGTATAAACGTGTAACTTAACGATGAAACTGGTAATTCATCGATTTAGGTATGACTTCTTGAGTATTTTTTCATTCATGGTCAATTCAAGCTACTTTTCCCTCTCAAGGGTAATTTCATAATTTCTTAACCATATAATTTCGATATTAAAATTCTTAACAAAGATAATTATAATTCAGAGATTCTAGGGTTTATATCTTTTTCGGATAATCTTTAAACTTTAAATTATTCCTTACCAAACTTCTAGTATCTTGTACAAGTCATCTTGAGTTTAGAAATTGATTATCCAGATTTTCTAAGCAAAGCTAGTATTTTCTATACACATCAGTAGTTTTATTAGATCAATACGTCTTTACAACTTCTTATCCAACTTTCAAAGTCAATTCTTGTACTTTTACAATATAAGGGTATTTTCGTAATTTTATCCAATCAGAGTATTCTCATAATTTCTCATCCAAATACCTTTAACAATTAACCTTTGATGATATAAATTTTAAGTTACATATCTAGGCTAATTCCTTTATCACTAATCACAGAATTCGTAATTTAATTCTAACAATTCCTCCATTTCTTATATTAATCATCTGAGCCGTATTCAATTATCGAATTTTTACCGCATTCATATTTAGTGTATGAATTAATTAACTAGCCAGATGAGACCAAACATTATCTTATTCATGCATTTATCAATATCAACTTGTTCCATAAAGCATAAAGATGTAGTAACCTCGATTTCCATGCCATATCGATCGACCATTTAAATTCCATTTGAACGCCCTCGATCTTTAATTCAACTTCCAATATTTTCCTCACGATCCAGGTCATCAAAATTACTAACTCGTATCCAAATAATTTCCCTCGCCATAAAAATAACTTATTAGAATCTAAGTAATAATTTGAGGACTCAATTGGTAAAATTAAAAACTAGTGTTGCCATCAAAATAGTTAATTACTTAAATTAGTGACTAAATTGATCTTGTAAAAACTATTATGTCATAACTATAACCACTTGGAAACTAAGAGACAAAGTAAATATCTCACCAAACTTGGATGACATACCTTGTGATTCACGTCCTAGCACTAAACCAGCTAGGACAAGGAGAAAGCCGGTGGAGAGCATGGATTTGAGAAGTCTGGAGTAGTTTACACCCTGGTTGAGAACTTTCCATGGATCAGCTCCCATTCTATCGAGCTTGTTATTGAAGGAAGTCTTGGAACCTCATACCTTCTCAAGTTTAACATAAACACTAGCGGTAGCACGATACAGATCAAAGGCCATTTGTTCATTTCCATCATCTTCGAGAATAACACATGCATCAGTATAGAAGTGAACACCATCATCGGGCAAATCATCATCCAAAGCACGGGCAGCCTTGGCAAGTGAAAGCAGACGCAGGTTGTAGCTGCTTGTGTTCCTTCTCCACCGGAAAGAAAATTGAATCGGCGTTACCAAATCCCCAAAACCGCTCACTTTGTTTTATTCTCACATGTCTCTATCTTCAGCTTTCCCTTCCCCCCCCCCTCCTCTACGTGCCCCTTTACCCTTAGATAATTAACACAACAAAGCTACAAGTATATGATACAAAGTCTTCAACTTTATTTTGTTGCTTTCTTTGTCAGACTCCAAAGACTTTTGTCTTCATGATTAAGTTTGTATGATAATTTTTTTTCAATTATGGAATGCCATTATCCTTATTTTATTCCTATTTCACACAACAATTTGTCCAGTGTCCACATTCTACCTAATTCATTATCCTCCATTTGTTTAATAAAATAATGGTCTAATACAACAATTATTTTCCAACCAACTTCATATTTAATCTAGAAAAACATAACCCCTAAATTGGGGTGTTACACAAATACTTGGAAATTACATCGATGCAGCAATGCGAACACACTACAATCGATCTTGAACATACATTATGACAAGCACAACATAAACTACTCAGAAAATTCCAGGACCAACAGTTCACCATGTCTTAGCTAAAAACGTTCTTAATGGTTCCACATTAGCTTCCATGATCGTAACGTAAGAGATATCAAACTAAAACTACAATAACACCCTACAATTTTGTTACACAAAGAAATACCAAGAGCAACCCTTAAACTTTAATGAACAAACAGATGAAATAAACAAAAAAAATTTAGCAATTGGGATAAAACCCCAAACCTTTTATAAATAACCCAAATTGGAAAAGAATAGAAACATGTTCACAAACTTTCCAGCTCCATTTCCATGGTTTTCTTGGCAACCAAACAGATATTTAACAAAGAGAATAGAAAAAAATACCGGGTTAGAGAATAACTTAGACTGGTATTCTTCTTGTAGAATTTCTGGGTATTCTATCTTCTCCTCCATTGATTGATTCCTCCCTATATTTTGAAACTAAAAAAAGGTTTTTTATTCGACCCAAAGAAGACAAACGTAATCGAAAACAGTACTACGGGATCACTTGCTGTAAAGAAATATTTAGCTCGGATTTTTCTCCATTTTTTTTAAGAAAAAATGTATTTGTTATCCATATCTATATGTTATCTTTATCTTTATTAAGATAAAAAATTTAATTAATTTGATATTTTTAGTTAACCAAATTTTGAAGTATTAGTATTTGATGAAATGAGAAAAACATAAATATTAAATTTAGGTTTAATATTAAATATAATTAAATTTAAAGTAAGTTGCATAAGTTAGGGATCTCAATTTAAGTCAAAATCGATGATTTCCAACTTCAATCAATATGATAAGGTCATTTTTTAAGAAAAATATATAGATTTGGCATAGGTCAGGTCGGGTGGAAGGTGAAATAACTCCGATCTAATCTGATAGTAATAATGTAGTTTCTTGAAATCATACTTAAATTATCAGTTTTTGTCTGTTTTAGTATCTAAACTTGACTTTACAAAAACAAGCCCAATTTTTTTTTGAGTAAATTACACATTTAGTATTTAAATTAATAGTTTTGGTCCGTTTTAGTAACTAAATTTTTAATTTTTTTTCAGAATCATGCATAATATTTAATTTTTATTTAATTTTAGTACTCGGTGTTAAAAACTTAACATTTTTAATACCTAAACTACCAGTTTTTATCCATTTTAGTACCTAAACTTTTAATTTTTTCAAAACTCAATATTAAATTTTGAACGGATACTAAAATGAAACAAAATCTAAACATTAGGTATGACTTTGAAAAAGGTAAAAGTTTAGATACCAAAATAGATCAAAACTAATAATATAGATACTAAATGTGTAATTTACCTTTTTTTCCCGCTAAGTAAGCATTTCTGGTCGTTAGTCTTCGGTTGTCCTTGTCATGGGAGTCTCCATGAAACATTCAAAGTCAAGAGTCTGTCTTTGAATTTTCCATCTAAAAAATAAGTCCACCAAACCAAACCCCAAAGGTTCCATCTAAATATATGCTTTCCATTTTACACCATTCATCCATTATCGTTTCTGAGAGAAACATGAAACCATCCTTAATGCCGTCGTATTTTCTCCTCTTTTTCCTCTTCTTTGCTTGTGATTCTTGTGCTCAAACAAAGCCGTCGTGCCCTCGAGACCAAAGCCTTGCCTTAATCCAATTCAACAGCTCCTTTTCCGTTCAGTGCTCCGACGCTTTGTCGACGTGTGGTGTACGGAACATTACATTGTCGTGGAAGAGAGGAAAGGACTGTTGTTTGTGGGATGGGGTTAAGTGTGATACTGAAACAGGGAACGTGATCGGCCTTGATCTTACTTGCAACTGCCTTGTCGGCGCTGTGCCCTCTAACAGCACTCTCTTCCGCCTCCGCCACCTGCGGGAGCTTTCCCTTTCTTTCAACGATCTCCAGTCCTCCCCGGTGGCATCGGAGTTCGGCGATCTTACGTCTCTGGAGATATTGTATCTTTCCGATTGCAATTTAACAGGTACAATTCCAGCATCTCTTGGTAACCTCACACAACTCAAGACTTTAGCTCTTTCACATAATCGACTCAGTGGTCTTATTCCGTTCTCAGTTTTCAACCTCCCACAAGTTGAATTTCTAGATTTTTCGTATAACAACTTGCTTGGTTCTCTTCCTTCTCAAGTTACCGGGCTTTCTCGAGTTGTTGATCTGTTCCTTGATCACAACTTCGTCAGTGGCAGGGTACCCTCCTGGTTGTTTTCTCTCCCATCTTTAAGTAGGTTGGTGCTTAGTAACAACAAGCTCACCGGTCCGATTCCCGATCCAGTTTCCGAACTTGTGAACCTTACTCTTCTTGATCTTTCTTCAAATAATTTGAGTGGCACCTTTGAATTGGACCAACTATCAGGGTTCGGTAAACTTGGGCAACTCTATCTCTCGGGTAACGCTTTGCTATCATTCGCCAGTGCAAGCAATGCCGATTACTCTTTGCCGGATCTTTCGATATTAAACCTCTCTTCTTGCAACACAAGTGAGTTCCCGAATTTTGTAAGAAATCTACCAGGCTTGGTGACTCTAGACCTTTCTCACAATAAAATCCGATTCATCGACGCCGATATGTTTGTAAACCTTAAAAACCTTCAAGAACTGGATCTTTCACACAACAGTCCACTATCGTTCAGCAACATCAACAACCTTACTCTTGTCTTTCCCCTTCTTCGTACATTGTCCATGTCTTCTTGTAACATAACCCAACTTTCAAATTTCTTGACAACTCAAGAGAGTTTGACTAGTTTAGACCTTTCAAACAACAGCATTCGAGGCCGGATTACCGAACAAGAAAACAACTGGGGAAGCAACCTGGAAGTCCTTCATCTTTCAAACAACTTGTTGACAGCTATAGAATATTATCCATGGAAGAATGTTGAAACGCTTAATCTTGGTTCCAACCTGCTAGAAGGGCCACTTCTAGTCCCACCAGTTTCCACACAAATCTTCTTAGTCTCGAACAACAGATTGATTGGAGAAATTCCATCTTCAATATGCAACATTGGGTTTGATTCTAATATTCTTGACTTGTCCCGTAACAACTTGAGTGGAGCAATTCCAGAATGTTTGGGCTATGCAAAACTTAATAGTTTGTATTTACATAAGAATCATTTTCATGGAAACATCCCTAATTTTTGTGCTGATGATCGCATGTTAAATACACTTAACCTCAACGACAATGATTTCGAGGGCTCAGTACCTAAATCCTTGGTTAACTGTGAGAATTTGGAAGTGTTGAATCTTGGAAACAACAAGATAAATGACACTTTCCCCCACTGGTTAGGAACTCTTCCTCGGCTACAGGTTCTTGCCTTGCGCGCCAACCATTTCCATGGTCAAATAAGTCCATCGGAAAACGGGTCACATTTCTCGACCTTACGAATCTTGGACCTCTCCCATAACGAGTTCTCTGGACTTCTCCCAACATCATACTTCAAAAGTTTCAAAAGTATGATGGATTTGTCTCAAGTTCAGATGGGATATATGAATTCTTACTTTGAAGATTCTTTGGTTATCGCAATGAAAGGTGTGGAGGTCGAACTCAAGAGAATCCTCACTATTTTTGCAACCATCGACATGTCGAGCAACCGATTCGAAGGAACAATTCCAGAAACAGTTGGAAACCTTGTGTCTCTCAACGTGCTCAACTTTTCTCATAACCACTTAACCGGCCAAATTCCTTCAGCATTAGGGAATTTGGCAACACTTGAGTCATTAGATGTCTCCTACAACATGCTAGTTGGGAAAATTCCTTCACAGTTGACTGGCCTGAACTTTCTTGCGGTGTTAAACCTGTCAGAGAACCATCTTGTTGGGCTCATTCCTCAGGGAAAACAATTCAATACCTTCATGAATGATTCCTACGTTGGCAATCCAGGCTTGTGTGGGTTTCCAGTTTCGAAAAGTTGCGGCCGCAGTGAACCACCACCAGCAACAACTTTTGACGAACAAGAAGCTGATTCTACATTCAGATTGGAATGGAAATCTATAATTATGGGCTATGGATGTGGAGCAGTGTTGGGATTTTCAGCAGGATATATAATGATGACAATCAGGAAACCAAAATGGCTTGTCGGGATGATTCAACGAGCAGGCAACAAAGTGTTGAGGACATTCAAGAAAAAGCATCATTGAGGAAGCTGGAATTGGTGAAGATAGATGTTTGTATTTTGTTATCTTGTTTTCTTTTGATGTTGTTCATGTTCATGTTCATGTTCATGTTCATGTACTTTAGAGTTTTGCCTTATCCAAATTAAAAACAGACGTATTTTAGATAAATTTGTATGAACACTTTTTTTTAAAAATTAAATGAGAATTAGATTATTATTATTTAACATTTTCACGCAATTTATAAAAAAATATAATAGATAAATTTAATTTTAAATTATCAAACTTAGTTATAATATTTTAATACCTTTATCAGACAGATCTCAATCTAGTTTTTTTCGAATAGGCGTTGAAACTATTTTTTGTCTCATCTAGGTGCCTAAAGTTATAAACGCTGCTACTTTAGGTGTTTGACGTTACAAGTGGAAGCTATATTTCCACTGTCATTCAATTCAGCCATGGTTGCATGGATTAAAAAAAACTTGCGTTAATAAGCTGAAGCATGTTTTCATGTCGACAACAGCTTGGCATGGGCCCTCAAGAATATTAGCACCATGTTTCAAGAAGACAAAAGAGAACAGGTCCATGTGAATTCCAGTTGGTAACCATGTGACCAAAGTGTCATCCCATTTGCTCCTATGCCTACTTTTTCTTCTAGAAGATGTGTTCATTACATAGAAAAGGAAAGTGGGATGTGCCATTCTCAATTTTCAACCTCCCACAAGTTGAATTACTAGATTTTTCATATAATAACTTGCTCGGTTCTCTTCCTTCTCAAGTTGGTGGGCTTTCCCGTCTTGTTGATCTACTCCTTGATCACAACTTTCTCAGTGGTAGGGTACCCTCTTGGTTGTTTTCTCTCTAATCTTTGGGTAGGCTGGTCCTTAGTAATAACAATCTCACCGGTTCGATTCCGGATCCCGTTTCTGAACTTGTGAATCTTACTCTTCTTGATCTTTCTTCAAATAATTTAAGTGGCAGCTTTGAATTGGACAAACTATCAAGGTTCGGTAAACTTCAGCACCTCTATCTCTCGGATAACACTTTGCTATCATTCACCAGTGCAAGCAATGTCAATTACTCTTCGCCAGATCTTTCGACATTAAACCTCTCTTCTTGCAACACAAGTGAGTTCCCAAATTTTGTAAGCAATCTACCAGCAACAACTTTTGATGAACAAGAAGCTGATTCTGAGTTCGGATTGGTTTGGAAACCGTGATGATGAGTTATGGATGTGGAGTGGTGTTGGGATTTTCAGCAGGATATAATGATGGAAATTAGGAAGCCAAAATGGCTAGTTGGAATGGTTCAAAGAGCAGGCTATCATTGAGGAAGATGGATAATTGCTCATTGGTGCCAGGTTGTATTCTGTTTTTAAATGTTTGTATTTGGTTGGCCATGTGAGTTTTGATGAGTCAAGTCTTGGGTCATATTATTGAGACAGGAAGTTCAACTACATGTTAAGCATTCCATAAAAAACATAAAGCAAATGACATGTTAAGAATTCTCACTATTTTCACAACCATCGATGTGTCAAGCAACCGATTCGAAGGAACAATTCAGGAAACAGTTGGGATTGGTGAAGATAGATGTTTGTATTTTGTTGTCTTGTTTCCTTTTGATGTAGGAGCATACCTGTTGACTTTGTGGCTTAACAAATAATACCAACATTCAGATAACTTTAAAATTCATCGAGCATACCTGTCAACGTGGTTTATGAAATGAAATGTCAACGTCTCTTGTATTATCAAAATATTAAAGAAAAATGGCTGTAATTGTATTATCAAAACACTAAAAGAAAAAGAAAAAGGCTGTCATTGTTTATTTCGTATAAGTGCATGCATTCCACTTGACTCTGAACTCTTATTATATCTCAGCCTTCACATTTTATTGTTCCATTGCCGTACCTGAGAGAGACATGAAAATGTGGTTGATACCATTGTATTTTCTGCTCTTTTCCCACTTCTTTGCCTATGATTATTCTGCTCAAACAAATCCGTCCTGCCCTCCTGACCAAAGCGTTGCCTTAATCCAATTCAACAGCTCCTTTTCCGTTCGGTGCCATGACTCTCCGTCGGCGTGTGGTGTACTAAACAGAAAGACGACGTCGTGGAAGCAAGGAACAGATTGTTGCTAGTGGGATGGGGTTAAGTGTGATACTGAAACAGGGGACGTGACCGGCCTTGATCTTAGTTGCAGCTGCCTTGTAGGCCTTATCCCCTCTAACAGCAATCTCTTCCGCCTCGGCCAACTGCGGGAGCTTGACCTTTCTAACAATGATTTCGAGTCCTCCCCGATAACGTCCGAGTTCGGCGATCTTAAATCGCTCGAGATATTGTATCTTTCTTATTGCAATTTAACAGGTCCAATTCCAGCATCTCTTGGTAATCTCACACAACTCAAAACTTTAGCTCTTTCACATAATCAGCTTAGTGGTCTTATTCCATTCTCAGTTTTTAACCTCCCACGAGTTGAATTTCTAGATCTTTCGTATAACAACTTGATCGGTTCTCTTCCTTCTCGAGTTAGTGGGCTTTCACGGATTGTTGGTCTACTCCTTGATCACAACTCTTTCAGTGGCAGGGTACCCTCTTGGTTGTTTTCTCTCCGATCTTGTTTAGGTTGGCCCTTAGTAACAACAATCTCACCGGTCCGATTCCGGATCCGGTTTTCGAACTTGTGAACATTACTCTTCTTGATCTTTCTTCAAATAATTTGAGTGGCAGCTTTGAATTGAACAAATTATCAAGGTTCCGTAAAGTTATGATACTCTCTCTCTCGGATAACGCTTTGCTATCGTTCACCAGTGCAAGCAATCCCGATTACTCTTTGCCAAATCTTTCGACATTAAACCTCTCTTCTTGCAACACAAGTGAGTTCCCAAATTTTGTAAGAAATCTACCAGGCTTGATGACCCTAGACCTTTCTCGCAATAAGATCCGATTCATCGATGCCGATATGTTTGCAAACCTTACAAACCTTCAAGAATTGGATCTTTCTCACAACAGTCCGTTATCGTTTAGCAACATCAACAACCTTACTCTTGTCTTGCCCGTTCTTAGGACATTGCTCATGTCTTCTTGTAATATAACCCAACTTTCAAATTTCTTGACGACTCAAGAGAGTTTGACTCATTTAGATCTTTCAAACAACAACATTCGAGGCCGAATTACCGAGCAAGAAAACAATTGGGGAAGCAACCTGGAAATCCTTGATCTTTCTAACAACTTGTTGACAACTATAGAATATTATGCATGGAAGAATGTCGAAACGCTTAATCTCCGTTCCAACCTGCTAGAAGGGCCACTTCTGGTACCACCACTTTCTACACAAGTCTTCTTAATCTCGAACAACAGATTGACCGGAGAAATTCCATCTTCTATGTGCAATATCGGGTTTGATTCTAATACTTTTGACTTGTCTCATAACAACTTGAGTGGAGCAATTCCAAAATGTATGGCCTATGCAAAACTTGTTCGTTTATATTTGCAGACGAATCATTTTCATGGAGTCATCCCTGATTTTTGTGTTGAGGATTACATGTTAAATTCACTTAACCTCAACGACAATGATTTCGAAGGGCCGGTGCCTAAATCCTTGGCTAACTGTGAGAATTTGGAAGTGTTGAATCTCGGAAACAATAAGATCAATGACACCTTCCCCTACTGGTTAGGAACTCTTCCTTGGCTACAGGTTCTTGCCTTGCGATCCAATCATTTCCATGGTCGAATAAGTCCTTTAAAAAACGGATCGGATTTCTCGAGTTTAAGAATATTGGATCTCTCCTATAATGAGTTCTCTGGATCTCTTCCAACATCATACTTCAAAATTTTCAAAAGTATGATGAATTTGTCTCAAGTTCAGATGGGATACAGGAGTTCATACTACGAAGATTCTGTGGTTATCACAATGAAAGGTATCGACATCGAGCTGAAGAGAATCCTCACTATTTTTGCAACCATTGATATGTCAAGCAACCGATTCGAGGGAACGATTTCGGAAACAGTTGGAAACCTTATATCTCTCAAAGTGCTCAATTTTTCTCATAACCACCTCACCGGTCACATCCCTTCCTCATTAGGGAAAATGACAGCACTTGAATCTTTAGATCTCTCAGACAACAAGCTTGCCGGGGGAATTCCTTCGCAGTTGACCGACTTGAATTTTCTTTCCACACTAAACCTGTCGGAGAACCAGCTTGTCGGACCAATTCCTAAGGGGAAACAATTCAACACCTTTGAGAATGATTCCTACATCGGCAATATTGGATTATGCGGGTTCCCAGTTTCAGAAAGTTGTGGCCAAAGTGAACCACCACCGGCAGCAACTACTTTTGATGAACAAGAAGCTGATTCCGAGCTCGGATTGGATTGGAAAATCGTGATAATGAGTTATGGATGTGGAGCGGTGTTGGGATTTTCAGCAGGATATATAATGATGACAATCAGGAAGCCAAAATGGCTTGTTGAAATGGTTCAAAGAGCAGGCAACAAAGTTCTAAGGACATTCAAGAAAAAATATCATTGAGGAAGATGATGATTGCTCATCGGTGCCTGGTTGTATTCTGGTTATCGCAATGAAAGGTGTGGAGGTCGAACTCAAGAGAATCCTCACTATTTTTGCAACCATCGACATGTCGAGCAACCGATTCGAAGGAACAATTCCAGAAACAGTTGGAAACCTTGTGTCTCTCAACGTGCTCAACTTTTCTCATAACCACTTAACCGGCCAAATTCCTTCAGCATTAGGGAATTTGGCAACACTTGAGTCATTAGATCTCTCCTACAACGTGCTAGTTGGGAAAATTCCTTCACAGTTGACTGACTTGAACTTTCTTGCGGTGTTAAACCTGTCAGAGAACCAGCTTGTTGGGCTCATTCCTCAGGGAAAACAATTCAATACCTTCATGAATGATTCCTACGTTGGCAATCCAGGCTTGTGTGGGTTTCCAGTTTCGAAAAGTTGCGGCCGCAGTGAACCACCACCAGCAACAACTTTTGACGAACAAGAAGCTGATTCTACATTCAGATTGGAATGGAAATCTATAATTATGGGCTATGGATGTGGAGCAGTGTTGGGATTTTCAGCAGGATATATAATGATGACAATCAGGAAACCAAAATGGCTTGTCGGGATGATTCAACGAGCAGGCAACAAAGTGTTGAGGACATTCAAGAAAAAACATCATTGAGGAAGATGGAAATGGTGAAGATAGATGTTTGTATTTTGTTATCTTGTTTCCTTTTGATGTTCTTCATGTTCATGTTCATGTTCATGTTCATGTTCATGTTCATGTTCATCAACTTTAGAGTTTTGCCTTATCCAAATTAAAAACAGACGTATTTTAGATAAATTTGTATGAACTCTTTTTTTTAAATTAAATGAGAATTAGATTATTATTATTTAACATTTTCACGCAATTTATAAAAAAAATATAATAGATAAATTTAATTTTAAATTATCAAACTTAGTTATAATATTTTAATACCTTATCAGACAGATCTCAATCTAATTTTCTTTAATTAAAGGCTTAAGTATAAAATAACTGACAAAACTATAGTGTTTTTTTCGAATAGGCGCTGAAACTATTTTTTATCTCATCCAGGTGCCTAAAGTTATAAACGCTGCTACTTTAGGTGTTTGACGTTACAAGTGGAAGCTATATTTCCACTGTCATTCAATTCAGCCATGGTTGCATGGATTAAAAAAAAAAAACTTGCGTTAATAAGCTGAAGCATGTTTTCATGTCGACAACTGCTTGGCATGGGCCCTTAAGAATATTAACACCATGTTTCAAGAAGACAAAAGAGAACAAGTCCATGTGAATTCCAGTTGGTAACCATGTGACCAAAGTGTCATCCCATTTGCTCCTATGCCTACTTTTTCTTCTAGAAGATGTGTTCATTACATAGAAAAGGAAAGTGGGATGTGCCATTCTCAATTTTCAACCTCCCACAAGTTGAATTACTAGATTTTTCATATAATAACTTGCTCGGTTCTCTTCCTTCTCAATTTGGTGGGCTTTCCCGTCTTGTTGATCTACTCCTTGATCACAACTTTCTCAGTGGTAGGGTACCCTCTTGGTTGTTTTCTCTCTAATCTTTGGGTAGGCTGGTCCTTAGTAATAACAATCTCACCGGTTCGATTCCGGATCCCGTTTCCGAACTTGTGAATCTTACTCTTCTTGATCTTTCTTCAAATAATTTAAGTGGCAGCTTTGAATTGGACAAACTATCAAGGTTCGGTAAACTTCAGCACCTCTATCTCTCGGATAACACTTTGCTATCATTCACCAGTGCAAGCAATGCCAATTACTCTTCGCCAGATCTTTCGACATTAAACCTCTCTTCTTGCAACACAAGTGAGTTCCCAAATTTTGTAAGCAATCTACCAGCAACAACTTTTGATGAACAAGAAGCTGATTCTGAGTTCGGATTGGTTTGGAAAACCGTGATGATGAGTTATGGATGTGGAGTGGTGTTGGGATTTTCAGCAGGATATATAATGATGGAAATTAGGAAGCCAAAATGGCTAGTTGGAATGGTTCAAAGAGCAGGCTATCATTGAGGAAGATGGATAATTGCTCATCGGTGCCAGGTTGTATTCTGTTTTTAAATGTTTGTATTTGGTTGGCCATGTGAGTTTTGATGAGTCAAGTCTTGGGTCATATTATTGAGACAGGAAGTTCAACTACATGTTAAGCATTCCATAAAAAACATAAAGCAAATGACATGTTAAGAATTCTCACTATTTTCACAACCATAGATGTGTCAAGCAACCGATTCGAAGGAACAATTCAGGAAACAGTTGGGATTGGTGAAGATAGATGTTTGTATTTTGTTGTCTTGTTTCCTTTTGATGTAGGAGCATACCTGTTGACTTTGTGGCTTAACAAATAATACCAACATTCAGATAACTTTAAAATTCATCGAGCATACCTGTCAACGTGGTTTATGAAATGAAATGTCAACGTCTCTTGTATTATCAAAATATTAAAGAAAAATGGCTGTAATTGTATTATCAAAACACTAAAAGAAAAAGAAAATGGCTGTCATTGTTTATTTCGTATAAGTGCATGCATTCCACTTGACTCTGAACTCTTATTATATCTCAGCCTTCACATTTTATTGTTCCATTGCCGTACCTGAGAGAGACATGAAAATGTGGTTGATACCATTGTATTTTCTGCTCTTTTCCCACTTCTTTGCCTATGATTCTTCTGCTCAAACAAATCCGTCCTGCCCTCCTGACCAAAGCGTTGCCTTAATCCAATTCAACAGCTCCTTTTCCGTTCGGTGCCATGACTCTCCGTCGGCGTGTGGTGTACTAAACAGAAAGACGACGTCGTGGAAGCAAGGAACAGATTGTTGCTTGTGGGATGGGGTTAAGTGTGATACTGAAACAGGGGACGTGACCGGCCTTGATCTTAGTTGCAGCTGCCTTGTAGGCCTTATCCCCTCTAACAGCAATCTCTTCCGCCTCGGCCAACTGCGGGAGCTTGACCTTTCTAACAATGATTTCGAGTCCTCCCCGATAACGTCCGAGTTCGGCGATCTTAAATCGCTCGAGATATTGTATCTTTCTTATTGCAATTTAACAGGTCCAATTCCAGCATCTCTTGGTAACCTCACACAACTCAAAACTTTAGCTCTTTCACATAATCAGCTTAGTGGTCTTATTCCATTCTCAGTTTTTAACCTCCCACGAGTTGAATTTCTAGATCTTTCGTATAACAACTTGATCGGTTCTCTTCCTTCTCGAGTTAGTGGGCTTTCACGGATTGTTGGTCTACTCCTTGATCACAACTCTTTCAGTGGCAGGGTACCCTCTTGGTTGTTTTCTCTCCGATCTTTGTTTAGGTTGGCCCTTAGTAACAACAATCTCACCGGTCCGATTCCGGATCCGGTTTTCGAACTTGTGAACATTACTCTTCTTGATCTTTCTTCAAATAATTTGAGTGGCAGCTTTGAATTGAACAAATTATCAAGGTTCCGTAAAGTTATGATACTCTCTCTCTCGGATAACGCTTTGCTATCGTTCACCAGTGCAAGCAATCCCGATTACTCTTTGATGACCCTAGACCTTTCTCGCAATAAGATCCGATTCATCGATGCCGATATGTTTGCAAACCTTACAAACCTTCAAGAATTGGATCTTTCACACAACAGTCCGTTATCGTTTAGCAACATCAACAACCTTACTCTTGTCTTGCCCGTTCTTAGGACATTGCTCATGTCTTCTTGTAATATAACCCAACTTTCAAATTTCTTGACGACTCAAGAGAGTTTGACTCATTTAGATCTTTCAAACAACAACATTCGAGGCCGAATTACCGAGCAAGAAAACAATTGGGGAAGCAGCCTGGAAATCCTTGATCTTTCTAACAACTTGTTGACAGCTATAGAATATTATCCATGGAAGAATGTCGAAACGCTTAATCTCCGTTCCAACCTGCTAGAAGGGCCACTTCTGGTACCACCACTTTCTACACAAGTCTTCTTAATCTCGAACAACAGATTGACCGGAGAAATTCCATCTTCTATGTGCAATATCGGGTTTGATTCTAATACTTTTGACTTGTCTCATAACAACTTGAGTGGAGCAATTCCAAAATGTATGGCCTATGCAAAACTTGTTCGTTTATATTTGCAGACGAATCATTTTCATGGAGTCATCCCTGATTTTTGTGTTGAGGATTACATGTTAAATTCACTTAACCTCAACGACAATGATTTCGAAGGGCCGGTGCCTAAATCCTTGGCTAACTGTGAGAATTTGGAAGTGTTGAATCTCGGAAACAATAAGATAAATGACACCTTCCCCTACTGGTTAGGAACTCTTCCTTGGCTACAGGTTCTTGCCTTGCGATCCAATCATTTCCATGGTCGAATAAGTCCTTTAAAAAACGGATCGGATTTCTCGAGTTTAAGAATATTGGATCTCTCCTATAATGAGTTCTCTGGATCTCTTCCAACATCATACTTCAAAATTTTCAAAAGTATGATGAATTTGTCTCAAGTTCAGATGGGATACAGGAGTTCATACTACGAAGATTCTGTGGTTATCACAATGAAAGGTATCGACATCGAGCTGAAGAGAATCCTCACTATTTTTGCAACCATTGATATGTCGAGCAACCGATTCGAGGGAACGATTTCGGAAACAGTTGGAAACCTTATATCTCTCAAAGTGCTCAATTTTTCTCATAACCACCTCACCGGTCACATCCCTTCCTCATTAGGGAAAATGACAGCACTTGAATCTTTAGATCTCTCAGACAACAAGCTTGCCGGGGGAATTCCTTCGCAGTTGACCGACTTGAATTTTCTTTCCACACTAAACCTATCGGAGAACCAGCTTGTCGGACCAATTCCTAAGGGGAAACAATTCAACACCTTTCAGAATGATTCCTACATCGGCAATATTGGATTATGCGGGTTCCCAGTTTCAGAAAGTTGTGGCCAAAGTGAACCACCACCGGCAGCAACTACTTTTGATGAACAAGAAGCTGATTCCGAGCTCGGATTGGATTGCAAAATCGTGATAATGAGTTATGGATGTGGAGCGGTGTTGGGATTTTCAGCAGGATATATAATGATGACAATCAGGAAGCCAAAATGGCTTGTTGAAATGGTTCAAAGAGCAGGCAACAAAGTTCTAAGGACATTCAAGAAAAAATATCATTGAGGAAGATAGATGATTGTTCATCAGTGCCTGGTTGTATTCTGTTTTTAAATGTTCTTATTTTATGACATGTAATAGCATATCAGATTCAGAAATGAACACAGGACCATCAACAACTTTCAAAACCATTAATCTCAATCAGTGTCCAAAGTCCAAAACCCATACCAGAACCCTCAAACTTCAAAGATTATGACCAAAACTTCATTCATATCAAACTAATATCTGCATTAAACTTACAGCTACTGTGTTATATTCTGGATTCATAAGTGAAATTATCTATCAACATGGGTGCTCGGTAAATGGTCCAATGCAGAAATAGTACTGGCCAGTAGTGCAGATGAGAAACAAAGAAGGAAAAGGAACTTTAACTAAATTTGAGTCGGGTTTCATGTCTGCTAGCAATAATCTCTTTCAGGCTAGACTAATTTTGAGTACACGGACCGTGACATCATGAGTAGGCCCCCAACAAAACAAAAAACAATATTGGTAAAAACGCAGTAGAGATCCCTGTACTTTTGAAAAAAAACAATATGATCCTCATTTTCTCTTAATGACCTTCCAACTCAGATTTTTTTTAATGTTGCCTATTGATCAACATTTTTCGTTGTTTGATTAAGGTTCTAACAGGGTAGTTCACGATGCTGACGGGAAAGTCCACGGTACTGACATTACAATCCATATGTCATGTTTGAGTTCCTATTTGCCAACGGAGAGTCACCTCTGCTTCAAGGTATCCATGTATGCCGCGCTTCAAGAGTCAAACTCTCCGTTTCGCCGAATCCGTTATCTACGCCATTCCTCTCATAACCAGTCACCGATCCGAATCCCAAATCCTGAACATCAAAATGAACGAATTCATCGAAGGACTCGAGCCGACCACGTGCTTGAAAGTTACACTCGAACAGCCAGCAGTATTCCGACCCAGTGCGGGAATCCCCGAAGTTTATGCTTCGTCCGTCGCTCTTGAATCCTAACTCCCTCGCTCGAAACAGATGATATGGCATTTTAGGAGAACTGTTTTCGTATGCATCAGTATCATGTGGTTCCTTGCGGAGTTGGTAATGTTCATGGTGTTTTGCAGATCGATGGTGTTCTGGTCTCCTCCGCCGGTGGGATGGTTAGAGGTCAATACCGATGGTGCTAGAGCTGATATGGATGGTCGTGATGGTGCTAGAGCTGATATGGATGGTCGTGGGTCGTGTGGGGAGCAATCCGTGACCATTTAGGCAGTTGTTGAGCTGGTTTAAAAGTACAGGGCCTTCACGAACTATTTTACCTAATATGTTCTTAATCATTGATAATACACGCGACACGCATTCCTTATAAGTGTAATTGTTCGAATCTATAACCTTTAGGGAGAATAACACTCCTATTAACAACTTAAATCAAAATTATAATGATATATAAGATCATATCAATAATAAATTATAATAATTATTTTAAATTAATTATTACTTAAAGTGTTTTAATTTTTTTAAAAAAAAGTTTAAAAATTGTTATAGTTAATCAATAAATGATTATTAATGAATTGGAGAAGCATAAAATTCCTTAAAAAGAAAAGGATTGCATGAAAAAGAATATGGTAAGTACCCGAATTTAAAGAGATAGTTTCTATTTATTTTATTTAAAAATTTATAAAAATATTAAAAATAGAAAAAGTTTACAATAATATTTATTATAGTTTAAAATAAAAGTATATATATATATTTTAATTGAATAGTATTAGTATTTAAATTAATTAGTGAAAGCAAATTAGGTTAGAATTTTAATTTGAATAAGTTACTTGTTTTCAATAAATCAAATCTTCTTTCTTGTATGAAAAGCAAAGAGGAGGGAACTACTGCACCGACTATCAAAGCTTATATAACGAACCCTAAGAGCTAGGGCAAAGCTTAAAACCCTTCGTCTTTCGTTAATCCATAGTCTCCAATGGCTTCTAAATCCTTTTTCATCTTTCTTCTGCTATGTTTTTCTGCACCTTCTCCGCCGCCGAACCTTGCGGCAACCACCGTTTTCATGGAGGCAAAACCTTCGCCTCATGCACCGACCTACCTTCCTTAAACTGCTCACTTCATTGGAACTTCCATTCATCGTCTCAAACAGTCGACATCGCCTTCCGGCAAAGCAGCGTCGACCAAAACCCAAGATGGATTTCATGGGCGATCAATCCGCACTCGAAAGGCATGGTGGGTTCACAAGCATTGGTCGCTTTCCAAAGAGACGATGGAACTATGATGGCTTATACTTCTCCTATAACAAGTTACGCGACTCAGCTTCAACAAGGTGACCTTAGTTTCCCCGTCGATCGAGTTTCCTCGATCGTCGACGGCAACGAGATGATCATCTTCGCAACCCTGATGTTGCCGGCCGCCAACGCTACCACCGTGAACCACCTTTGGCAACAAGGACCCTTAGTCGGCAACGTTCCCAGGATGCACCGATTGTCCGGTCCCAACATGGCTTCGACCGGAACCCTGGATTTTCTCTCCGGCAAGGTCGTTGTTCACAAAACAAGTAGCCGATGGAAGATACTTCATGGAGTTTTATGCATATTGGGATATTGTATTCTAATGCCTATTGGAGCTTTAATCGCAAGGCATGGGAAGCAAGGGGCAGGCACTACTTGGTTTAAACTACATGTTTATACTCAGTGCACAGCTTACTCGATGGGTTTGGGTGGTGGGATCGTTGGTATTTTGCTTTGGCATGGAGTTGGGGCCAATGGAGTTAAAACTTGCGGTGCAAGCCATCAATATATAGGAATTGCCCTTCTTTGCCTCGGGTTCTTTCAAGGGATAATAGGGCGTTTCAGGCCACACAAGGAAGATAAAAAGAGGGTCTACTTCAAGATCTTTCACTTCACAATGGGATATGGAACCATTGGATTAAGCATTGTCAATGCCTTGCTGGGTTTTCATATGGTACATTTGGGGATCAAGGCTTGGCCTCAATTGACGTTCATTGTTGTAATGTCATTGTTGGGAACCTGTGCTTTAATCTTGGAAGGATTCAGCTGGTGGAAGTGGAGCAAATCAGCAATTATCACCGAAGGTGCTTTGGAAGAAATTTAAGCTGTGATCTTAGTTTCTTTATAGGCTTTGTCTTAAGTATTTTTCTTGTCTTAGTTTCTTTAGGGACTTTGTTTTACTTTTTATTGACTATATGTTTTGGGGAAATTTATTGCCAATATTGACAAGATTGTTTGGGCCAGAATGGTTTAATATAATAATTTGAAGCATAAGATTAATAATAATTGGTTAAGTGGAGTGTTGTTATCTCTCGAGGTATTGAATTCGAGCAGCTACGTTTGTAAGATGTGTGTACACTATCAATAGTTAAGAAAGATCATGAATAGATGTTTCCTTAAAATCAATCTAGGATAATAGAAAAAGAGGTAATTTATGAGAATTAAGTACATTGTATTTTTTAAGTAGAGAATCTAAATTTAAATCTTAAAATTAATATCGACTAGTTTGACATTATTTTTGAAAAGTGATATGAGAAAGCAGAAACAAACGTATGATTTTACGTTGGGGGACAAGCTTGAACTTACAAAATTTCATGGGGTGACCTTGAATTTACAAAATTTTAAGAGACGAAAACGGATTTTCAATAGAAAATACATAGAAAAAATTTAAAATATATGGTAATTTTATATTTCTAAGGGGGAGGGCGACCACCTCCACCCACCCTGCCTTGGCCCATCCCTATGAGAAAGTATTTTTAAAAGTGATTTTGAAAAGTTGAGTTTAGATTTTAGTGTTTGATATTAATTTAAAAAGTACTTTGGAGAAGATGAAATCTATGTTTTAGACATTATATTGTAAATTAAAAATATATATTATTTTAAATTCAATTATATTTTAATATATCAAATATATCAACCTAAATTATAATAAAATACATTATTCTTTTAAAAATTCAACCATAAATTATTTGAACAAAACAATAATAATATATTTATAATTTATAAAAATGGATTTTTCAAATATTTTTCCCTGAGTGAAAACAGTTGCTGAAAGAACCTACGAGTTAAGAAAGATAAAAAGATAATTTTACCTCCAAACAGGATTTTGTCTCTAAAAAATTGGAAAAAGTAATTACAAAAACAAAGTCGTTAGTAATGACATGGAATATAAATAAATAAAATAAATCGTAACTATAAACCGTGTTTTTGGTGATCCACTGCCTTATAAGCTAATTTGGTCCGATGAATGTAATCGCAGCAATGGTCGAATGCCCCCTAAGGTTAACACGATTCTTCAAAACTCGTACACCCAAGAGATTGGAGTGGACAAAAGGTGGTATCGCTCTTCACCACTTATAATTTCGGAAGAAACAAACTTCGAAGAAAAGTTTGTAGGAAGAGAGAAAAACTTTGAAAGCAGAGAGGAGAATATATTTTGAGATGATTTGAAAAAGCCACAAAGCTTCTGTGTTTATAGGTGCATTTTCCATACAAGAAACAGAGACAAAGAAAATAAACATACTGCAATCTAAGTAAGACTTATTAACTTTAAAAAGTTAATAAAATTGCCAGTCAGTGATGTCCTTTTAAATGCCTTTCAAATTCGAATCAATATTTTCAGTATGAACTTACTACAATCTAAGTAAGACTTGACTCGATTGCACTGCTACTCCATATGCATGAACTGGTAGCAAAATCTTTTAATCTTTACGAAGATCTGCCTATATGTAGATAAGTAACTAGAAGAGAAAAGAAAAGAAAGTGTAATATATATATGTATGTATGTATGTACCGAGTTACCAAAGAGAAAGCAATGTGCATACACTGAAGCAAGCGATACTGCGAAAGCTCCACCTGCAAGCCTTGTTTGCGATTTTGAGTTAGGAGAAGATCAATTCAACTTGAGAGCAAATAACAATGTTACCAGGGGATGTCAAGTAAACGCTTCTTCTCACATGAGGAGACCAACAACTCTGCTCGTAATCAAAACCGTATAGAGATGCATCGAAGAATTTTCCGAGGAGTCTTTCGGATATTGATTTCGAAACCATCTGTGTACTCGGTGTACTCGGGCTGTTTAACGTCGAACTGCCCGGCTTTTTTTTTAACAAGTTGTGCTACATGTTTAATATAATGCTTTCTTTTTTAATTCACTTTCAAAACTTCTAGACAGCCTTGGCTTTATGAGACAAGCAAATCACGTACATGTTTCTCTTGTAGCTAATAACATTTGCTGAAATTATTGGCTGCAAACTTGTCTCTGTTAATACGGAAAAGAGGATTCCTTGTAACATTCAAGAACACAAACTTCATAGTTATAGTAACTGGACAAAGTCGATGACACTGTTATTCCGAATATTTATTCATATCACAAAGTTTTCAGGACTAAAACACTGGGAAACCATATTCGAGTTCTGTTTGATGTTACAATATGACCCTCACTTTTTCCCTCGCAGCTTCGTACCAAGTGCCCTCTCAAGTTTACCAATTATCTGCTGGTTAGGGATAGCTTTCCCGGATTCGTACTCTTGTATGATCTGAGGCTTTTCGTTGATCATCTGTAGGACGACAAGAAAGATTCAATTAAAGAACATTACAATAAATATGGAATGTGTAACACTCTTAGGGAATATGCATCAGCATACACATAGATGAAGAGAGAGACCTGAGCAAGTTGAGCCTGGGTGAGTTTCTTGTCCATTCGAGCCAGCATGATGGCTTTCTTCAGTTCTGTTGGCACTCGTTCATCTGTTCATTAGTTTAAACACCGATCGATATTTATAACGGCAACACCGATCAAAACCCAACGTGTATAAATGTTTAAAACTAGTGAAAACAATGGAACTTCAGGTCATGTCATAATAGCCAAACGTGTAAATGAAAAGCATCTCACTTGTTACGAACGAGATCACCAAAACACATAATCAGGTAATTCACAGAGTTCATGTAAATAAACTCATAAAAGCATAATTTAACTTTGAAAGCAATGGACACATTGAGCAAGTAATTTGACTTGCACATGATAAAAATACCATTCCAAGGAATGCAAGGATGTATGAACCTAGTCATTGCTACTGCAACAATAACAATCAACTCGAAAACCACCCCTTTATATCTCGATATTTCTTAACAAAGATTACATTGATGCATAAAGAACCCATTTTTAAACCTTTAAGATTAAAAAGTTCATAAAATTGCCAGTCAGTGAAGAAACATGCTTTAAATCAACAAACACTTGCCATACAAAAATTAAAATCCACCCCAACGGATAGATTCAAAAGGAACTTATTCTATTACTTATTCAAAAGAAAATCAAATATTCTCTTGTGAAAAAATTCCTTTATTATTCAGACGTAATTCAGCTATAATTTGATAAATAGGGGAGGAAAAAAAAGGAACGAAAGGGAATAAAGTATTCCTTACGAGCAAGATTTTCAGTTTCTTCATCAAGCTTCCTTGTATTCAAAGTGGTACCACTTGATGCTGCCTTGTTCGTCCCAGCATTCGCTGCAAATTCCCATCAACAAGAAAACAGATTTAAATTATCCTTTATCATCAACCAAAATTACCCTGATTGAGATAAAAAAAATATCTAATTATATTAGGTATTTATGTTTTTTTACAGAAGGGGTAAATATATTACATTTTTTAACGGATTCGATCTCGGCACCGGCTCGACGGGCGGCGTTGACGACTTTCTCATCCTTTTTGGTGGCGGCGCTGGGGGCTTTCTTCCGAATGACGACGGGCTCCCAGTCTTGAGTTAAAGGTCCGATTCCGGCCATTTCTGTAACCTCTTAATCCTTGATCGGACGAAAGGAAAGGAAAGGCAAATTGAAAGAAAGGAATCAAAAAAGAGAATTTTTTTTTTTTGGCTAGAAAAAGATTGCAACAAAATTATCTATAGGGGCTTCCTTTTTTTTATAGGTATTATTAATTTCTAAACAATAATTAAACATTATCCAATTATTAATTAATTTATTACTACTACTAGTCCCTGCTTTATCTATAGATGATAGATTTAAGGGTAAAAATTACGTATTTAACACTTAAATTATATATTTTAATCTATTTTAGTATTTAAATTATTAATTTTTAAAATTATATCTAATATTTAATTTTTGTTTCTTAGTACATCGTCGTTAAGTTTTTAACGTCACTACATTTTATGGGTAAGTTACATTATTCATCACTTAACTATTTTTTATTTTTATTTTGATAATAAAGTTTAAAAAATTTCAATTTAACTACTCAACTTTCAAATTATTCTTATTTTAATCACTCTAATTTATTTTATTAATAATTTGTGTGACATGACATTTATTATTAGTTTATTAATATATAATTAAAAATAAAAAATTAATTTAAAAGTTCGTGTGATTAAATTATGAGTAATTTAAAAGTTAAGTAATTAAATTAAAAAATTTAAACTTTAGTGAACAAAGTAAGAGTGAGATAGTTGAGTAATGAATGATACAACTTACCCATAGAAAATAAGTTACGTGCAAATCATGTGTTAAGTTTTTAACGACGATTTACTAAATTGAAACATTAAATATAGTTTTGAAATTAGAATATTAAAACATAATAAAACTGATAGTTTAGATATTAAGCGCGTAATTTATCCTAAATTTAATCTTTATACCTAATTTAATTATTTTTAATTCATGTACTTTTCGAATCTTCCATTGTTATCATCATCATATTCAATTCTTTTTAGGGTAAACTACACCAATATTCACTAATATTTGGGTATGTATTCGTTTTCACCATTGATATTTGAAAAGTCACAAATCGATCATTAACATTATTACAAAATGGTCACTAACATTATCGTTTATTATAAAATAATCATTTGATATTAACAGCCGTTAACAAATCGTTACTATAATAACAAAATACTGACGTGACACGTTAAACCAGTTGACTCAACATGTTTGACTCATCGTTTGATTCTTTTTATTTTTCTTCTTCTTCACCCATGACCATTTAGACAAAACCATACAAGAAAAAACACAGTAACAAATACGATAACATCAAAAGTAAAGACAAAACCATGGCGTCCATTTGTTGTCTTCTTATTTTTTTCATGTTTCAACTGCT